TTTGTTGTTTTGTAATCTAATTTTATTTATTCTTTTTGTTAGATTTGAGACCACTCCATTCCTTTTTTTTTGGAATTACAAAGGATAAAAGTATTTTTTCTTTGTTTTCTTTTTTTATTATTATTCAATTTTATTTATTTATTTGTATTTTGTGCTATATTTAATTGGTGAATGTATCTAATTTATTTGTTTAATTTGTACATATATTTTTAATTCGTTTCTTTATTGGATGAATTTAGGCAATTATAAAATCATATATTTATTTTGTTTTAGAATGAAACTTAGTTTAGTTAGATTTAATTGTTTTTAATTGTTAATTAATATATTATTTATTTGTTTAAATAATATATATTTATGTAATTWATTTATTTTATTGATTTGCTTTTTTATTTAATACATGTGCGTAATATTTAATAAATTTAGGTTATTTATTTGATTGGTGTAGTTAAATTTAATTAGGACCTTAATTAAATATATCCTTTTCCAATTTAGGATTGAAATGACAGCTAAATGTTTGGTGATTGTACTGTATATGAATGGAGGTACTGTTGATGGTGTAAATGAAATTGATTACGATGGACCATCAAGTGGAGGTTTTACTGTGTACAGTGGTATTGAGTTTGAACATTTTGTTCAAATGGCTGGAGTGTCACTGAAGTTAGATATGGGGAGGAGTAAATTAGAACTTGTTTATAGACACCCTAATCAAACACCATCGGGTTCCATTAAATACATTCCTATTCCATTAGAGAACCAGAATGCATTGGATTTAATGTTCTCTATTGCATCGCCATGTTCACAATTAGTGGAATTATACGTGAATGTTAGAAATATGACGAATGTCCCATTTGACCTCGACGGTAACATGATATCCCTCTTGAATCATTGGATCTCGAGGGACCCAGCCAATGTCTTGACCATAGTCAATGTCTTGATCCCGAACCTGAGTCAGTTGTACCTCCAACGACTAATTTAGATGAAAATACAGACTTAACTGTTGATAATAGGTTTATAGAACTCAGGACAGCGACAGATGATGAGTTTGATGAATTGGAACTCAAGGGTGAACATGAGATCCCTTCTTGTTATCAATCCTCCAGTCGACGACGATGGTGCTTGCGATCCAGGATACATGAGCTGGTATACGTTAATCACCAAACGATATATAACTTGAGAAGGAGCAGCATTTGGTGCTACGATACAATCTTTTATTTCGTTATAAAAATTATTCAAATTAATAAATACATATTCATTAATTTTTTTCATGTAGGCTGCGTGTTTCGAGCAAATCAGTATTCTCTCTTCATCAGACGAAATTAATACGTTGTGCAACATTGGCGGGAGGCATCTTCAGAGCCTTCATCAAATGTACAAAGTACCTACTTGATAAGTCTTGAATTTTAGAAAAAAGTGTTTACAAATTGTGCATGTTTAGTGTCTTCTGAAGTTAAATACGTATGTTTCATGCATTGAATCTGGTATAAATGAGACTATTTCTTAGGAAAGACTTGTACACTTGGTTTTGGATAAATAGATGGAATTATGAGGAAATATATATGTTTTATAGGGAAAAAGGAAGGAAAAAGTAGCAATGCACCTACTGCAGTTGACACATAGGCTATCTTAAAGCTAGCAGCGATGCGTCTGGCACATCGCCAACACTCCAGATACTTTAGCAATGCGCCTAACGCATTCTCCACCTACAAATAAGGACTTTTGTTGATCGGACAGTTAGAAGAATTCTCAACCCATCCCTTGATCCGTGCAACCAAATGCTGTTAAGCCCCATTGTAGCTCCTCCACTCAAATACCCAAGATATTCTCCACCAACTTGCAAGGTTTAGCTTATAAATACCAAGTTCCATCAAGCTTCAAAGGGGGGAGCTCACTTGACATTTAAAATTCCAGCTTGTTTCCTCTCTAGAATTTACGTTTTTATAATTTGTTTTGTCTTTAATTTTGCTCAACATTCCTTGAATTATTTTTATTGCAATTCCTTTTTGTTGTTATAATT